CAACCCCTGGAAACTATGCATCCCAAACCACAAGAGACAACAACTCCTGGCAGAAAACCACGAGCAACCGACCGCAGGACATCTAGGAATAGCTAAAACAATAACCCGCCTAGCTAGAAAATACTACTGGCCAGGGATTTTTAAAGACGCCGCAAAGTTCGTCAGGAACTGCAAGAACTGTCAGCAATTTAAGCCGCAACAAAGCTTAACTCCAGGCCGCATGCAATCTACACAAATTCCCCCACATCCATGGCACACCGTTTCAACCGACATCATAGGACCCCTTCCAACATCCAGCAAAGGAAACAAATATATAATGACATTCCAGGACACCTTTTCAAAATGGATCGAAGCCATACCGATCAGAACAGCAACGGCAAAATCAGTCTGTCAGAACTTAAAAGATAAAATCATTATGAGATTCGGATCACCCAAAGAGCTAATATCAGACAACGCAAGAACATACGATAACAGGGAAGTACGAAAGTTGCTAGACGAATTCCAGATTTCTAAAAGAAACATTCCGCCATATTCACCCAGAATAATCCAGTAGAAAGAACAAACAGAGTAATCAAAACAATGATAGCTCAGTTCTGCGATAATAACCATAAGAAATGGGACACGAGCCTTCCAGAACTACTATTCGCATATAATACAGCTAAACACGATTCAACGGGTTTCTCACCAGCCTTCCTAAACTTTGGACACGAACTAGAAATTCCAAGTAAAGTCGTAAAAATCCCAAACGACACACAACATACCGATCAAAACATAAAATGGCATAAACTACGAGAAACATTCGAACTAGTACGTACAAACCTGGCAAAAGCTTTTACAACTCAAAGCCATTACTACAACTTACGACGAAGAGAGTGGAAACCCACAATAAACGACAAAGTCATGAAAAGGGAATACCAACTCTCAAATGCCGCCAAAAATTTTAACGCCAACTTAGCACCGAAATTTTCAGGCCCATATACTATAACAAAAGTGTGTTCTAATGTAATATTCAAATTAAAACACGACGATAAAAACCGTACAATAACAGCTCATATCAAAGACCTAAAACCCGCATTTACCGATTTCCCTACTCCTTAATCAGTCCAAGCACTTACAGTCAACACCAAGTAGTGACAGTATATTTTAATACAGTTTACCAGTGACCTTCAAATATAATGTCAGACACGCTAGAAATATATTACAGTGACATAGAAATGGACGGCACAGTTACGCCGCCACCATACACCGTTCCAGAGTTAATATCACCATTGGAAAACACACCAAAACCTAATACCCCGGGCAAAGGCTGCGAGCCCTTGATAAAGGCTATTTCCAAATTTAAAAACCTTTTCGATGAACCAGCCATGGGCATCACAAAAATTCAGAAAGTCCAGTCAATTCCAGTGTCAATCCCGCTGCTCTCACTAATTCCGCCACAGCATAAAGAAAAAAAAATACAGACTGAGACTCCCGAACCAAGTGCTGAGGATAAAAACCAATAATTGAAGCCCCACGAAGGAAGACGTTTTTTTTAAGAGAGAGGAAGACGATTTTTTTTAAGAAGACAATATTTATTTTTTTTAGGGCGGACATTTTTTATTTCGATGTATTGTAAATTGTTTTTTAGGGTAACCAAGTACCTGGCAAGGAATAAAAATAAAAAAATTTTGTTCCAAAATTTTTTTTTTCCAGGAAGAGGGGGTGTAACGATGAGTCCAAGCCATCACCGTTAAACCAGCGTGCGCGCGAACCAACCCATGAAGTAGGAGTGTATCGACAGTAGAAAGGACAAAACTTTGCTATATAAACCGCATTATTTCCTCATAGAGGCAGAATCGACAGGTGTTGACTGAAGGTTCTCTTCTTCCCTACCCCGGCTTGTGGACGTGTTAAGTTCACAAGTTGTTTCCGTTCCATACCGTCGTACCCGGAGAGCGTGTTGAGCTCTCCATTACCCGTACTCCGAAGCAGTCATGTTGAGACTGTCGAGGAGTGTCCTATTAACCCGAATCACTTAAGGGACGTGTTGAGTTCCTTTCTTTTCTTTGTACCTATCGTCCGCTGTTATTACAACGTTCACGTAAAATTTCAAAAACACACTCGCTTGCCGATAAGACTAGTTTCATACGACAAGGTCAAACTTAATTTGAATAAATAGGCCAGGTACTGAGAAGACTAAATTGTAAATATGTACATAATATTTTTGTCAATTTAATTTAAGGAAGACAATAAAGTTTTATTTTTATTTTGAACTCTGTCTCTGACTGTCCAAAAGCTACCCGGATAGTGACTCCTACGAGAGGACGTCACAAGATGATATCGTTCTTATTGCAGACAGCATTGATCAGGCACAGATAATGCTCCAAGAACTCCATACTGCCACAAAAAGAGTTGGTCTTAAAATAATTTTTTCAAAAACACAATTTATGACAAATTTAGTCCACAACAAAAACATCTCAGTAGAAGACAAAGATATTGAGCCAGTTGACTCCTATAAATACTTAGGCCATGAGATCAGAATAAGTCGAGACAACCAAACAATCGAGCTAAAAAGAAGAATAAACCTCGCTTGGGCTGCATTTGGAAGGATGAAGGATATTTTTAGGTCTAAGATTCCAATGTGTCTGAAAAGAAAAGTATTTAATCAATGTATTTTGCCAGTGATGACCTACGGCGCAGAAACCCTAACGCTCACAAGAACAACAGTGAGTAAACTACAAGTTGCGGAAAGAGCAATGGAGAGAATTATGTTAGGGATTTCTCTACGTGATAGAATACCCAATGCTACTATACGCAAAAGATCAGGAGTAGCAGACGTTATTGAAAGGATAACAACACTAAAGTGGAACTGGGCAGGTCATGTAGCAAGATCAGTTGATGACCAGTGGACAAAAAGAATTTTGGAATGGAGACCCCGAATACAAGCTTACAGAAATAGAGGTCGACCTCCAACGAGATGGACAGATGACATAAAAAGAGTAACTACAAATTGGATTCAGATGGCGCAAAATCGGACTAAGTGGAAAAGCATGCGAGAGGCCTATGTTCAGCAGTGGTCGTTAGAGGCTAGTTGATGATGATGATGAAACTTTAAGTATGAAAAAGTGGCCAGACAGTCAATGCTTATCGATTTCAAAGAAATTGTATTTTGGAGACGATGCGACCTTAGAAAAATAAAAAAAAATGAGGACAGAAAATAAGACCATTTATAATTTAGATGAAACATGGGATAATGAAGGACATACTGCATGGAGAGTTTGGAAAGACAAAACTATAAAAACATGTCGACAAGCATTTCTGGAAGGATATTCACCTGGTTTCAAGGAACCAACAGGTAAAGGTCGACGATTAATTGTTACCCATATAGGTAGTATTAATAGATTTTTTAAGGAGGGTTTACTTTTGTTTGAACCAACAAAGACCTGTGATTATCACGAAGAGATGAACGAAGACGTGTTTGAAGAATATTTCGAACAGATGATTGAATTCATACCTAAAAATTCAGTTATTGTGATGAACAATGTAAGTTACCATTCTAGATTAGTTGAACGTTTACCACCTACTCAATGGAGGAAAGATGAAATTGCAATGTGGTTAACTTTGATAATAAGCTCTAATAAGCAGAATTATTAGAGCTTGCTAGAATTAATAAACAAAATTATGTATAAAAAATATGTCATTGAGAAAATAGCCAAAAAAAAACGAGGAATTGAAATACTTCGCCAACCACCGTATCATTGCGAGCTAAATCCGATTGAATTAGTATGGGTTGGAGTTAAAAGTAACGTTGCTCGAAATAATACAACTTTTAAATTGTCAGATGTTACTATTCTTTTTCATAAATCAATATCCGAAGTAACGACTGAACATTGGCAAAAATGTATTAATCACGTTATGGATATTGAGAAAAATATGTGGGAGCTTGATCATATAATAGATATCAGTATAGAACCTATAATAATTTATCCCGGATCGAATAACACTTCGTCTGAAAGAGAATATATGGAAGCTTAACTTTAAACTGTAGCTCAGAAGTTTATTTTACATTTGAACTAATTGCCGACAACTTCATTGTTTATTTTTTATTTATTTTTTATTGCTAATATAATTTTCATTCTTATTTCCAATATTATTAGTATTAAGAATATTATTATTTATTAATGGGATATATGAAAACTTACAGTTTTTGTGTATGTATTTTACGTTTCAGTATAATTTATTGTATTTTATTATTTTATATTAACTGTATGTTTCACAAATAATAGAATTTTTATTCTTTTTATGTGTATCTTTTTATTTTAAACCAGTATTGGATTGGATTAATTACTTTGGTATAAATACCCAAATAAATTTATCGCAAACTTTTCCTTTAAGATTACGTTTTAGTTAGAAGATGTGCACGCCTATGTATTTGGAGGTGCGAAGATTAGTATTCTGAGAATTTACTCCAGCTTATTCTTCAAATATACTATATACTAATATAATGTAAAAAATAAATCTCTTGTTATAAGTGCAATAAAAGTTCGTTATAAAAAATATTGTCCTAAGCTAAACCGTCCTATCTATCAAAAATAATTACTTCCTTGTATTATCCCATAAATTGTGTATACACAAATTAAGTTCATTTAAAATTACAGTTCGATATCAACAATATTACGGATGGCGTAGCAAACTAAAGTTAATTGCGTTTTTCTCAAAATAGCGCAATTGGTAGATAGGACCTTTCAGCTTAGCAGGGCAGTATTATTTATAACAGTAAAGAATAGCAACAAAATAATTTATATATAATATAATAGAATATATATATATATATAAGAAAGTAGTATTAAATACATCCTTGCGGAACCCTGTTGGCGACTTTATCAATGATAAGGAAAATAGAGTGAATATCTTATATTAATAATATCTAATTTTCCTTATCAGTTTTATTGGTTTAAATACTCCAAATAAATTTTGCAAAATGTTCATTTGCCGCGAAGTTCATTATGTCTACTATTTGATAACTACATACCTTCATTATCAGTAGAGATAGTAAACAAAGATCTAAACAGCTATATTTTTAAATAACTCTAAATAAAAAAATATTAGGAATGTGATAAAATTTTGAACGGTATCTCGTTTTGTGTACTTATCAGATTGTTATACACAAGAAGATCGATTCAAATGAAGTTGTAAGATGCAATGTGTTATTGGAAGAAATTAAAAATTTACGGGAATAAACTCCGAAAGCGCAAAAAATTGTATGTTAGAAAAAATTCTGTAAGTATATTTATTTATGATTCGTTTAAACGGAACTTCAGTGTCAATGGCTTATTTTTTTACACTAGACAGGTACTTGTACTACGCATTTTACTCACCAATCCGTTAGACATTAAAATTTTGTTTTTTACATGTTTGGTTTTGGCAACGTTTCTTGATTGACGTTAATTAAGCTTGATTTGTGATCTTATTCATTCATGTTCAGCCTTGGTGGCGTGTAATGATCCATACTTTCGCTACTTCTTATGATTATTTGGCCAGAACTGAGCCCCATATGTGAATGTATAATCTATATGTTGATATCTTTGTGTTTATTTTTTTTGTAATCATGCAATCTACTAGATAAAAACTAGATAAAATGTCACATAGTTATTAACAAAATAACTGGTAATTTTTCGACTGCAACCCCTATTTCCTATATAAACTCTTTGAGAATATGAGTGACCAACATTGGGTAATACATTTATTAAGAAGGCATATTTATTTTTTCAGAGTTGCCATCAGACTAATCTTTATGTTTTAAAATTTAACATTTTATGAGAAATTTAGTTCAACGATTTGTGATTTTATACTTAGAATTTTAGAAATATCACTAAATGATTGCTTGATTTTTAGAAAATGAAGTAAATAAGTTAAGATTTTTACTTTACATTAAAATTATTTACACTAAATTATGCATTTTTAATGTTTTTAACACTTTCCTGTGCAAAAATTTGAACAATTCCCGTGACCATCGTTTATTTTGGTTTCGTAAATTTAGACTACATATATGTTTGTACATTAGATCAGATCATATCTGTTTCTTAAATATATATTTTATTATTTTTTCATTCTTGTGTGCAATAGTTCCTGGCTGTTACTTCTTATTATGTGTACCAAGAAATCTTGTTTAATTTTCAAGCTCTAAATAGTAGCCTAGTAGTTTAGAATCTAGTAATGGATTTTCTTCAAACGATTAGTATAAGGTGGGTTAAAGGTGCTGAATACGAATATGCCATTATTTTTCGCTAAATAAATTTAAAAAAACCATAAAATAACTATTTTACAAAATCTATGATTACGAATCTGCAAGAATTTTTGAGATCCATCTTCAAGGTACCGAGATATCGACAATCAAAGCTTTGAACTTTAAAGAGAGTCCAGCCATGATATGCTCCAGCGTGGCAAAAACTATAAAAATGCAGATAAAGCTGGAATTAAAAGAACAGAGCCGAAAAGATTTTTCTAACCGAATCAAGCCTACCCATATTTAATATAACCTTCTTTTTCTTCATGTAGATACCATCCTTTCAGAACATTGGTTACCGTCATAGCTATCTTATATAGTTTTAGTCACTTCCACCCTAAATAGTATACTTGTATTAATACTATATGAATATCGCATGATCTTCAACCATGAAATAAAGACTTTCTTTGTCCGGGCCTGCGTTTGCCTGCTATTTTCCCTTGCATAATATTTTGTAGCAATTTATATTTGGAACCTCTCATTATATGTCCAAAGTACTCCAGCTTTCTTGATGCTTTTTTAATAATATAATACAACCCACCTAACCTAATCAAACCTAACATAATCTAACCAAACTTAACCAAACCTAATCAAAACTAACTTAACCTATTCTTATCTACCCTTACCAAACCTACCCTAACCAAAATAAACTTGACTAAACACAAACGAACTTCAGCAAACTTCACCTAATCACTTAATCTTGCATGTTCCGCTCAATGGCATCTCACAGCTCATCTTTTTTATGACTAATCAATCTTGTTGATATCTCGTTACCTAGAACCAGGATCACAAATATTTTTGCATATACAGGGAGATAAATAACTGTGCTAAAGCACATAATAATTTCGTTGCAAAAATTACAAACAGCTTTGAGCTTCACATTTTAAAATCAGTTTTAATATATCAGGATGTTTTTAACAAACACGTTGTATTTTATTCAATTTAAAATCCGCTACCTTTTCCAGGACAAACAATTCCTTATACAGGCAAATTATAATTAACTTTCCAACAAAAACAGTGTCATAATTTGTCAAAAAATAAGAGTGTTCCACAGTATTGTGTGTTATTTTAGTTGTGTAGTACACTTTAAAGTAGCAAATATTTCTTTTATTACTGATGAAATCGTAGACATGATCCAAATAGGTTCTAATCAACAAACAAAGGCCACTGTGCCTGTGGAAAGCGAGGTATTCTTCCGTATATGGGTGGTCTACATAATATAGATTAGACCAGCGGTTCCCAAACATTTTTCTGGTGGAACTCTTTTAAAGAACTAAATTTTTAAAGTAACTAAGTAGTTATATACATTGTTTATTAATAATTATACAAAACGGTATATACGGTTAGACTTACTAACTAAATAGTAAGTTAGTAAGCAAATGATAAAACAAGTTAATCTAATGGAAGGTATGCATCTATTTTTATTCCTCATTAACTGGTTAATGTTAGGTTTAATAAAATAAACTTAAATTCTCTTATCTTGTTCGGCATCCAGTCTAAGGCGATATTATGTTTTTATAATTGTATGTATGTATAGCGTAAACAGGCCTTTTAGGCGCATTGCTGGATAGATAATTTTAACCGTTTTCTGTTTTTAGCTATCAGCTTCCAATCTCTGATTCTCATCTTTCTGACATCTTCCATCACTACATCTCTTAATTTTTTTTCTTAATTTTTCTCTCTTTTTTGCCCTCAGGTAATCTGCAACCAATATTATGGACTTGTCTATTACCTTGCATTATCCCTAGATGTCTGAGCCATTCTAGTACGGTTTTTCAGTACTTTTGACATTGTAGGATTAGCGTGCAATTAGTACACTTCTATATTAGTCCGTCTTATCAATTCTCCCTCTACTACTTTTTCACCAAACATTCTGCGAAGTATCTTTCTTTTTCATGCTTTCAATCTGTTCTGTATGATTTTGTTCATATTCCATGTATTGGTAGCGTATTTATAGTTTTGTATACTCTTATTTTTGTATTACGAGATATATCTTTGGCATTCATTATTTTGTTCATGGCCCCAGCACATTTGTTGCTGTTGGTCAGTCTCAGATTGATTTCAGTTTTTTCCTTACATATCTGACCGGTAAGGGTACCTAAGTATAAAATATATTCATCCACCTTCTCGAATTCTGCAACTGATCCATCCTACATCTATAATTTAAAGGAGCCCCTGGTGTCTATTATTCGTTTCTTGCTCGATATTTCTATTTACTTGCAATGTTTTCTAGAACACTTGAATGCTTTTAGCGTTTCTATTAATTTGTTTCTGTCCTTTGCAGCATAGGCGGCTTTGTAATCAATAAAAAGTACTTGTGCTAAAATGTTGTATTCATAGCAATTAGTCAGAATCATACAAATTTGATCGGTTGTTGATCTTCCCTTGCAAAATCCTCCCTGATATTCTCGTAGATTCTTTTCATATAATTCTAATCGTTTTAATTAGTATGACGAGCACTTGTATGTTACCTCTAATAAGGATATTCCTGTATAGTTTGCGCATTCAACTCTATCTCACTTTTTGTGTATAGGAATTATAATGGACTTGACATTTCTTCGGCATCTCACACGTCTACTATTAGCTCATGAAGTATATACTCCATATTTTAAGTTCTCTGCTACAATGCCGCTCTCCTGAGGCTTTTTTGATTTTTCATATCATTTATTATTTCTTCAATTACTTCTCTTGTGGGCTTTGGTATTTCTTCAACTACTATTTGGGGTTTAGGAACATTATAATTTTCTTCAGTAGTTACTCTGCCATGTAGTACCTCTTTGAAATATTCTTTCTATTTTTCACATATTTGGTCTTCGTCCACTATCAGGTTACCTTGCTTATCTTTAACATTCATCGTTCTTCTCTGGTACCAGTTTTAACTTATTTCAAGTCTTTTTAGAAATTTTATATTTCGTTTTTCTTGAAATTTTCTTTAATACGTTTTACTTTATCATTCATACTTTCTTTTCCGCGCCCTAAGGATTTTCTTTACTTTTTTTTCGTTCTTCGATGTACCTTTCTAGGTCGTATTGTTTGGGATCGTCAACTTTTTAATCTCAAATCTAATCTTTTTTTAACTCTCTTGTACATTCGTCATCGAACCAGTTGTTTTTTCAAATTTTTTTTGTCCTTGGTATGTTCTTCAACGTTGCTTCCTTTATAGTGTTTGTCATTTTCAAGAACTTTTGCTGTATGTTCCATAGTACTCACAGTAGCACTATCTCATTTGGCGTAGGTTTCTGATATATCCTTTTAATAACCCTGGGCTATCTCAATTTTTCGCAGTTTTTCAAAATTAAATTTATTATAGGTTGCACTTTCGTTTTTAGAAAAAATGATCAGAGTCTACGTCAGTCCCCCGGAGCATATTCTCACATTTATTATTAAATTGGCAAACTCTCTGGTATTAAGATGTGGTTTATTTGATTACTTTCATTTGATTCCTTAATTTTCCACGTTTTTTTATATACATTCTTTCTTCTGAAATGTGTTTTGATTATTTTCATTCTGTTTTCAGTTGCAAGTATAATCAAGCTTTAGCCATTATAATATATATTGATATGTTTACTTTCACCCCCTGCTTTGTTTTTATATATCTTTTCTTCCAAACTTTGCATTGATGTCTCCTATAATAATTTTAATTTTTTATCTGGGATTTTTTTCAGACAATGGCTCTAATTCTTCATTCATCTTTCACTTCTTCTCCTTTTTCTTCTGTTGGAGCGTGTATATTTATCAGTAATATCATATTCTGTTTTCCTTTAATTCTAATTGCACACATTCTGTCAGATTTTGTAAAGAATCGTTTTACTTACTCTACGTCTTCATATACCAGAAAACCCACTACAAAATTCCTATTATCTCCACTTGTATGAAACGTATATGGACTAATTTTTTCAATGTTGTTTCCAGTCAAATGTGTTTTTTGTATTGCTATAAAGTGTATTTTATATTTTTTACGTTCTTCTATCAAGTTAATTGATGCTCCCTCCTT